TGTTGGATGCAGCGAAAGCAGTTCTTCCCTCCCCCACCTGAATCACCAGTCACTTGGTTCTGAAAATAAAAAGTTTTTTCTTTCTTTCTTTTTTTTAAGATTTTATCTATGATTGAGAGAGAGAGAGAGAGAGCACAAGCCAGTGGGGAGAGGGAGAAGCAGGGAGCCTGACCTGGAGCTTAATCTCAGGACCCTGGAATCATGACCTGAACTGAAGGCAGGTGCTTAACCAACTGAGCCACCCAGGCACCCCAACAAAAGCAGTTCTAAAAGGGAAGTTCGTAGTGATAAATGCCTATTCCAAGAAATAAAATCCCGAACAACTTTATACCTCAAGGAACTAGAAAAAGAAGAACAAATGAAACCCAGTTAGCAGAAGGAAGGAAATAAGAAAGAAGTAAATGAAATAGAGACTATAATGACAATAGAAGAGGTCACTGAAACTAGAACTAGTTCTTTGAGAGGAAAACAAAATTAGCAAACCTTTAGCTTAGATTCACCAAGAAAAAGAATATTCAAGTAAATAAAATGAGAAATGAAAAAATAGAAGTTACAACTGTTAGTATAGAAAGCATCATAAGAGACTACTGTGAGCAATCATATGCTAACAAATTTGGCAATTTAGAAGAAATGGATAAATTTCTGGAAACATACAACCTACCAAGACTGAATCATGATGAAATAAAAAATCTGAGCAAACCAATTACTAGTGAAGAGATTGAATCAGTAATCAAAAACCTCCCAACAAGGGCGCCTGGGTGGCTCAGAGGGTTAAGCCTCTGCCTTCAGCTCGGGTCATGATCTCGGGGTCCTGGGATGGAGCCCTATGTTGGGCTCTCTGCTCAGCAGGGAGCCTACTTCCCTCTCTCTCTGCCTGCCTCCCTGCCTACTTGTGATCTCTCTGTCAAATAAATAAAATCTTTAAAAAAACAAAAACAAAAAACCTCCCAACAAACAAAAGTCCAGTATCAGACAGCTTCACTGGTGAATTCTACCAACCATTGAAGGAAAAATATCAATCCTTCTCAAACGCTTCCAAAAAATAGTGAGAGATGAGAACTCTTCTAAACATACTTTATGAGGCCAGCCTTACCGTGATACCAAAAGCAGACAAGAATGCTACAAGAACAGAAAATTACAGGCTAATATTCTGACGGACATAGATGCAAAAATCTTCGACAAAACTGTAGTAAACTCAGTCCCGTAGTACATTAAAAGGACCATACACCTTGATGTAGTAGTGGTCTTATTCCAGGGATGCAAGGATTGTTTAACCTATGCAGATTAGTCAGTGTGATATACCACATAAACAAAGTGAAGGATACAAATTATATCATCTCAGCAGATGTGGTAAAAGCATTTAACAACATTGAATATCCATTTCTAATTCTCTGTAAAGCCAGTATAGAGGGAGCATACCTTATAGCAAAGGCCATGTATGTTAAGCCCACAGCTAGCAATATACTTAGTGGTAGAAAGCTGAAAGCCTTTCCTGTAAGATGATGAACCAAAACAAAGATGCGTACTTTCGCCACTTTTATTCGGTGTAGTACTAGTAGAGCAGTTAGGCGCAGTCAGGCAAGAAAGAGAGATCAAAGGCATCCAAATTAGAAAACAAGAAGTAAAACTATCATTGTGTGGAGAGGACATGATATTAAATATAGAAAATCCTAAAGATTCCCATCAGAAAGCTGTTAGAATGATCAAGTTGCAGGATACAAAATCAGTACATGGAACTCTGTTGCATTTCTGTATATTAATAATGAACTATCAGAAATTAAGAAAATAATCCTATTTGTAGTTGCATCAAAAAAATAAAAATACCTAGTAATAAATTTAACCAAAGAAGTAAAAGACCTCTTTAACCAAAGAGGTAAAAGTTCTCCAGTACATGGAGAACTACAGGACATTAAAGAAAGATGTTGGAGACATTAATAGACATTCTGTGCTTATGAATTGGAAGAGTTTATATTGTTAAAATGTCTATACTACCTGAAACAATACATAGATTCAGTATAATTTCCTTTTTTTTTTTAAGACTTTATTTATTTATTTAACAGAGAGAAAGAGAGAGAGCACGCGCGCACACAAGCAGGCAGAGTGGCAGGCAGAGGGAGAGAGAGAAGCAGGCTTCCCGCGGATCAAGGAGCCCGATGGGGGACTCGATCTCGGATCTTGGCATTATATGAATCTGAGCCAAAGGCAACCGCCTAACCAATGGAGCCACCCAGGTGTCCCAATTCAGTATAATTTGTAACAAAATTATAATGGGTCATTTTTTCAGAGAAATAAAACAAATAATCCTAAAATTTGTGTGGAACCATAAAAAACCTCATATAGCCACAGCAGTGGTGAGAAAGAACAAAGCTGGAGGAGGCATCATGCTCCCTGATTTCAAAGTATGTAGTTAAGTATATTGTAATAAACAGTGTGATACTGGCATAAAAGTGGACACAGAGATCAATGGTACAGAATAGAAAGCCCAGAAATAAACCCACATGGGTAATTAATATATCCTAGAGGAGTCAAGAGTATACAGTGGGTATACAGTTCTTCATAAATGGTGTTGGGAAAATTAAACAGCCACATGTAAAAGAATGAAGGTAAAGCGCCATTTTATATCACGTGCAAAATTAAATTAAGGATTTGAATGTAAGACATGAAACTATAGGGGCACCTGGATGGTTCAGTCAGTTCAGCATCTGCCTTCAGCTAAGGTCATGATCTCAGGATTCGGGGATCGAGTTCCACATCCGGCCCCTACTCAGGAAGGAGCTTGCTTTTTCCTCTGTCCCCTCCCCCTGCTTATGCTCTCTTTTGGTTACATACACTCTCTCTCTCTTAAATAAACAAATAGATAAATATCTTAAATTAAGAAAAAAAAAGACGTGAAGCCATAAAACACCTAGAATAGGATAGCAGTCTCCTTGATATAGGTCTTGGTGATGTTTTTTGGAATCTGACACCAAAAGCAACTAAGGCAAAAATGAACAAATGGGAATATCAGAATTAAAATGTGCACAGCAAAGGACATCAACAAAATGAAAAGGCATCCTACTGAATGGGAGAAAATATTTGCAAATCATATATCTGGTAAGGGACTAATAACCAAATACATAAAGAACTTGTACAACTCAATATCAAAGACTGAACTACCTGATTAAGAAATGGGCAGAAGATCTGAATAGACATTTTTCCAAAGAAGACATACAGATTGCCAACACATAAACTGAAAAGATGCTATACGTCATTAATTCTTAGGGAAATGCAAATCACAGCCTCATACACAAGGTACTGTCTCACACCTGTTAGAATGGTTATTATCAAAAAGTCTGGAAGCAGCAAGCATTGGGAAGGATGTGGAAAAACCAGAACCCTTGTGCACTGTTGGTGGGAATGTAAATTGGTGCAGCTAGTGGAAAACAGTATGGAGTTTCCTTAGAAAATTAAAAATAGAACTGTTGTATGACCGAGTAATTCCACTTCTGGGTATTTATCTGAAGAAAATGAAAACACTAACTCAAAAAGAAATATGTGAGTTAATTTCATGATTATTTATAATAACAAAGAAAATACAATGGGGAAAGGACAGTATCTTCAATAAGTGGTATTGGGAAAATTGGATAGCCACATGCAAAAAGTGAAGCTGGATTGGATCACTCTGTTACACTATAGATAAAAATTAACTCAAAATAGGTTCAAATCTTGAACATAAGACCTGAAACCTTAAAGCTCCTAGAAGGAAATGTAGATAGTAAGCTCATTGATACAGATCTCAGAATGGATAGAGAAATTGTGGTGTATACATACAGTGGAATATCATTCAGTCATAAAAAATAATGAAATCTTGCCATTTGTGACAACATGGATAGACCTTGAGGGCTTTGTACTGTGTATAATAAGACAAGAGAAAGACAATGCTATGTAATCTCTCACATATGAAATCTAATATATTTATTCGACACTAAGCTCATAGAGAGAACAGATTGGTGGTTGCCAGAGGCAGGGGTGGGAGACAGGAAAAATGAGTGAACTGGTTTGGGTTTTAGTTTAAATAAATTGGATTTTTTAGAATATGGGCTTAAGTAGACATTTCTCCAGAGAGGACATACAAATTGCTAATAAGCACGTTAAAAATATGTTCAACATACTAATCATTAGGGAAATGCAAATCAGACTCACAGTGAGATCCAACCTTGGATCTATCAGGATGACTACTATTCAAAAAATCCCCCAAAATTAGAAAATACAGAGGATGTAGAGAAACTGGAATCTTTGTTCACTGTTGGTAGCAACATAAAATGGTATAGCTGCTGTGAAAAATAGTATGACAGTTCCTCAAAGAATGAAAAGCAAAATTTCTATGTAATCCAGCAATTCCAGTTCTGGGTATAGAATCCCAAAGAACTGAGAGGAGGAACTCAGACAATTATTGGGACACCCCTTTTCACAACAGCATATTCTCCATGGCTAAAATTGGGGAAGCAACCCAAGCGCCCATTAACACATGAAAGAATACACAAAATACGGTATATACGTATTACGTCAGCCTATAAAGGAAGGAAATTCTGTAATATGCTGCAAAATGGATAAACATCAAGGACATTATGCTAAGTAAAATAATCCAGCTACAAAAGACAAATTCTATATGATTTTACCTATATGAAGTCCGTAGAGTTTTCAAAATCATAGAGACAGAAAGTTAGAATGATGGTTGCCGCTGGCTGGGGAGAAGGAGAATTAAGAATTATTGTGTAGTAGGTACAGATTTTTAGTCCAGGGGATACTAATTGAAGGACTGGAGCAAGGAGGAAAATCTGTTGAGATGATCATGTGTGAGGGTGGAGAGTGGAGTGAGGGACCTGTTAAGCTGTCTTTAGTCAAGAATTTCAGTGGAAAGAAGAGAAAATGTCATGTTGTTTGTATGTAGACTATATTATTTTCCTGTCCACCTGCGTTGATGTACTTTTAATACCTTGCTCTTTTATTATCTATTTCAGACTTTGGAGTTAGTGCTTTTTTAGCAACTGGTGGTGATATTACCCGAAATAAAGTGAGAAAGACCTTTGTTGGAACTCCTTGCTGGATGGCGCCTGAAGTTATGGAACAGGTACTTTGTCTTTCATTTTTTTTAAATGGTTTATGGTTTTGTACAGAATGAAAAAAATAACAGCAACATTTGCTTTTGTTTGGTGTACAGTTGTACAGGTATCCCCCACTAATGGAAAGTAGTTTGTTCTGTGAAACCCTTTGTAAGCTGAAATGGCACAAAGGAAAGAAACAGTGACCACTAATTTATTTGTAAAAATTTTTTAGCATTTCCAGACACAAAAAATGAATCTCTCTTAGGCCTTTCCGGTACCATAGAACACATCTTGTTATTGGATACACAAAACAAATTGAGTTAAAACAGAGATACTCACATAATTCAAAGCTCTGGTGGATTGACCTGAATGTGGTTCCCCAGGAAGGAGCTGAGCTACACCAGGCTCGTTGCTCGGCTGGGGCGCTGCCTCCGTCATGGCAAGCACTGAATGTCATTTTCACTTTTTTCATAAAGGGAAAATCCTTTCCCGATTTCTTTCCATAGTGTAAACAGGAACTACTATAGGTCTTTCATGTAAGCCAAATGGCTTAATGGGGTCTTTGAAAAAGTGGGGATACGTATGCTGGGTTAGCGTCGGGAAATACATGTTTCTGTTCCTCAGTTACGATTTGGGTCCACCCTTAAAAACAGACCTCTAGATCTTTACAAATGATATATGAAACTCAGGATTTATACCAAATACAACCTAAGGAATAATATAATGAAGATTGGTTTAGTAATAGTTTCCATGTTACAAATTAAACAACCTAATCTTTGTACACATAGATTTCACTGCTGTGGTTCTTGAAGGACTAGTTTTGTCCACAACCCCATTTCCCATTTGCTTTTAAACAACTACAGTCAGATGTTGCTCATGTAGTCATTTTATGGAAACTCTGCTAATTCTGAAATCAGGGCTCATTTCTTATTCCTTGCCTTACTTGTTCTCTTGTCATTTGAAACAGTTTTTTATGTTTTTTTGAAGGTTTTATTTATTTATCTATTTATTTTACCTTAAGTAGTCTACATACCCAGTGTGGGGCTTGAACTCAACAACCCTGAGATTTGAGAGTTGTGTGCTCTACGGACTGAGCCAGCCAGATTGCTCCTGAAGAGCACCTTTAGGAGTGATTAAACAAAATTAAATTTTTTTAAGATTGTATTTATTTGAGATAGAACGTGAGCCAAGGCAGGGGGCAGAGGGGGAGGGAGAGGGAGAAGCACACTTCACAGAATGCAGAGCCAAATGCAGGGCTCCATCTCATGACTCTGAGATCATGACCTGAGCTGAAATCAAGAGTGGGTTGCTTAACTCACTGAGCCCCCAGGCACCCCCTCAAGATTTTATTTTTAAATAACCTCTACAAAAATAAATCTACATTTATTTTTAAGTAATCTCTGCATTTTAAGTAATCTCTACATTTTATTTTTAAGTATTCTCTACATCTATTTTAATTAATCTTTGCAGGGTTGTGGCTCTAACCCACAACCCTGCCATCAAGAATCATAATGCTCCACCAACTGAGCCAGCCCAGCGCCCCATCTATTATATTTTCTAAAGTATATTCATGCCAGTCTCTTATTTCCTAAACCCCTAGATGGAAGTTTCAAGCTTCCTCTAGATGTTTTACATAGGTATCTTTTAAGTATATCAAAGTCAGTATGTAGAACCGAATTCATTTGTAACTCTTATAATGCTTATGTTCACCCTGTTGGTGAGGGAAGCATTCCCACTCTGGGGTTATGCAGATGCTGGCCATTTCACACTGGACTGGTAAGACTGACAGCAGTTCATTCGTCACGTACACACAGAGCTGCAGGGAAGAGGACGCGACATGACACATGGGGCTCCTCTCGGGAAGAGAGTGGGTAAACGGTTGCTGTGGGAAACAGACCTAGTAGTAACAAGAGAGTGAGGTGCCCCTTGGTTTCCTTGCGAGGGTGATTGGCTCATTTGAATAATTCTGACAGCTGGTGGGGAGCTGAAACCTGCTACTCAAGGCTGAACAGGAACTTGGCCTGGTCCAGTTGAGCAGGATTGTTGGGCTAAGGGACCTTATCCTTAGGAGCAGACTGGGGAGGGGAACTTGGACTTAGTTCATTAGGGGCCCACCTTCTTTTGCCACATGTCAAGGCAGCACATTGTATGGAGCTTTAATTTCAGGTCCCAAACCACATACTCCCCCCATATATTTCTTCTCCTGTGTTGCTTAAGATAGAAAATGAAAATATTTGGGGCGCCTGGGTAGCTCAGTTGGTTAAGTGACTGCCTTCGGCTCAGGTCATGGTCCTGCAGTCTCAGGATTGAATCCCACATCGGGCTCCCTGCTTGGTGGGGAGTTTGCTTCTCCTTCTGACCTTCCCTCTTCTCATGTTCTCTCTCTCTCTCAAATAAATAAAATCATTTTAAAAAAAGAAAATATTTAACTTTATAATGTGCTCCTGACAGTATAAAAGGACAAATTTGGTCACATGTTCACATCAACAACTGAAAATATTCAAACCCCTTGTGTCTTTTTTCCTTATAAAAATTAAGGAGATTAAACAAGACTATAACATAGAAAATTTGGAAGACCAAAGACAAAGCACTACTGCCTAACAGTTTTGTTCTAGTTCTATCCTTTTCCTTAAAAAAAAAAAAAAAAAAAAGATTATACACTTTTGTAATGAGTATCAAAACTTGTGAGGAATTTTGTATTCTTTTTTCTTCATAAATGCTTTATCACAAGTGATTTTCTGTGTTTTCACGTAGAATTCATTTACATTGTTTTTAGTTGACTAACATTTCTTTTAAGTGAGTATTCCATACTTAACAATTTCCTCATTGTTGGGGAACATTCATTCTGATTGCTTTTTCTTTCGTCTGTTACCAAATACATTTAGCCTTTGCCTACTCTAGGTTACTTTATTGATTTAAAGCGAATGAACAGTTTAATGGTTCTTGATATGTATTAGAAGTTATTTTTAAAAGTGCTCTTAGGGGTGGGTACTTGGCTGGCTCAGTCAGAAGAGTATGCTACACTTGATCTCAGTCATGGGTTCATGCCTCACATTGGGTGTAGAGATTACTAAAGAAAAACAAATTTAAATTAAAGTGCTTTTAGGGTGTTAAAAGTAATCATGTATATCTTTATGTTCTTTATAGGTCCGAGGCTATGATTTCAAAGCTGACATCTGGAGTTTTGGGATTACAGCAATTGAACTGGCTACAGGGGCAGCTCCTTATCATAAGTATCCACCAATGAAGGTGAGGTTCATAGTCAAAGTACTATCCCAGCCCATGTCCCAGTTTCTTTTCAGAGCCTACTCCTAGGAAATAAGTGGACTTGAAAACGGTGAGTTTTTAGAACTGTAAAGTGGGAAGCTATTTTAAGGCCAAAGGAATGGTTTATTTTTTAAGAGGAAGTGGGAGAGGAGATGAGATTTATTTATTTTTTATCCACCAAAGGCAGTGAGTCCTATAATTGTAGTCAGACATACACATGTTGGCCTTTTTGCCCAGAATGAGAAATACCTCCATCTTTTAGTAATTCCATTCAGTAAATATAAATTGAATCTGAAAAGCAAGTATTAGTTCTGACTATAGCCCCCTTTTATTCTTTAGTGTTAACTTTTAGAAAGTGGCTTATGTGGGGCGCCTGGGTGGCTCAGTGGGTTAAGCCGCTGTCTTCAGCCTGGATCGTGATCTCAGGGTCCTTGGATCGAACCCTGCATCAGGCTGTCTGCTCAGCAGGGAGCCTGCTTCCCTCTCTCTCTCTGCTTGCTGCTCTGCCTACTTGTGATCTCTTTCTCTGTCAAATAAATAAATAAAATATTAAAAAAAAAGAAAGTGGCTTATGCTTCTATAAAGAAGTCACACAGTTTAGAAAAATCACCCCGAATCTCATTATATAAATATGACCTTCCTTATTAACACCTCTGTGCATCAAACTAGTATGTTGCCATGAAAGTCAAAGAAGGAAGAGATTTAGGATGGACAGAATAATCAAAATTGTCAGTTACCACAGAGAAGGTAGGAGGAGTGAGAACAGAAAAAGGCTACAGCTCTGTTAACTAGGTATTATCTATCAGTGGTTTCTCAGGAATGGCTGAGGAGAAGACATGAACAGACATCTCTGCAAAGAAGACATCCAGATGTCCAACAGACACATGAAAAAGTGCTCAACATTACTCAGCATCAGGGAAATAACAAATCAAAACCACAGTGAGATACCACCTCACACCAATCAGAATGGCTAAAATTAACCAGTCAGGAAACGAAAGGTGTTGGCGAGGATGTGGAGAAAGGGGAACCCTCCTACACTGTCAGTGGGAATGCAAACTGGTGCAGCCACTCTGGAAAACAGTGTGGAAGTTCTTCAAAAATTTGAAAATAGAGCTAGTCTACAACCCAGCAATCGCACTACTACCCTAAAGATACAAATGTAGTGGTCCGAAGGGGCACGTGCACCTGAATGTTTATAGCAGCAATGTCCACTATAGCCAAACTATGGAAAGAACCTAGATGTCCATCAACAGGTGAATGGATAAAGAAGATGTGGTATATATACACAATGAAACGCTACCAAAATCTTGCCGTTTACAACACCGTGGTTAGAACTAGGGGATATTATGCTAAGTGAAATAAGTCAGTCAGAGAAAGACAGTTATCATATGATCTCTCTGATATGAGGAATTTGAGAGGCAGGATGGGGGCCTGTGGGGGGAAGGGAGGGCAAATGAAATAGGATGGGACCGGGGAGGGAGACAAACCATAGGAAACTCTTAATCTCAGAAAACAAACTGAGGGCTGCTGGGGTGGGGGGGGCAGGGTGGGGGAGGGATAGGGTGGCTGGGTGATCGACATTGGGGAGGGTATGTGCTGTGGTGAGTGCTGTGAATTGTGTAAGATGATGATTCACAGACCTGTACCCCTGAAACAAATAATACATTTTATGTTAATTAAGAAAAAAAAATAAGGAGTGGCTGAGGAGTTCTGGGAAGAGAAGGCCAGATTACAAGGGGTCATGTTACAACAGAGCCATGAATAGGTAGAATCAGCAAGATCACATTTTTAATTTTGCTATGGTTTTATTTATTTATTTTTAAATTTGCTGTGATTTTAACTGCTTTGTAAAGTTGTTTTTTTTTTTTTTTTAAGATAGTTTTTTTTTTTAAGATTTATTTATTTGTGACATAGAGAGAGAAAGAACAAGCAGGGGAAGCAGCACGCAGAACAGACAGAGGGAAAAGCAGGCTCCCCACTGAGCAAGGAGCCTGATGTGGGATTTGATCACAGGACCCTTAACCAGCTGTGCCACTGAGGCATCCCTGATTTTAATTTTTTTGGCAGGTAGTTTGGCAGTATAAGAATGGGGACAGAGGGCATGAAGAAAGGGCTCTTACTAAAGGGTATTCATTCAGTGCTGATACAGTTGAGCCGCTGCAGCCACTTTACCTGGGAAACCAACTATCTGTAGGATATTATTTGTGTGGAAAACACCTAAATAACTTTGTGTCCAAATAACTGGTCTAGAGTGAACTGCTTATATATTGGAAGGTTGTCTATATTGAAGAATGTTGACCACAATGTTTAACTTAATGAGACATCAGAAATTTTATATTATATTGAAAAATTTTCCAGGTTTTAATGCTGACACTACAAAATGATCCTCCTTCTTTGGAAACTGGTGTTCAAGACAAAGAAATGCTGAAAAAATATGGAAAATCGTTTAGGAAAATGATTTCATTGTGCCTTCAAAAGGATCCAGAAAAAAGGTAAAATATGAGATAAAGCTTACATTTCTCTTCACCAAATATTGTAAACCATTGTGGGAAGTATTAGATACGTACATTCATGTGCAGGAAGTTATTTGTGCATATTCAAATGCATTTGTATTTATTTAAATATAAACTTTAGAAAAAATATACAGGGACTGTTACACTAGATTAGAAATGAATGAATTGCTTTCTCCCTTCTTTAGTATATAGTGTACTTCAGTATATAGTGTACTCTAATAGTTCAGCTAATTCCTGGCTCATTTTTCATATATTTGTGTTTTGTGAATTCTGTGTTTATAAAATATCATGTTAGTGGGAAGGCTTGTTTTTAATGCATTTAAAAGTCATAAGCAAACAAATATTTTGATGCTGTTTACAATTTTAATAACAAAGGAAATACACAAAGCAAATGTTATATGTAATACCAAGCAATCATGTATTTCCCTAAAGGAAAGATATTTTGATGAGTGGACCAAAAATGCAAAGCACTTACTTTTTAACACTAGACAGATTGGAAGGCAAGTAAATGAATAAACATGATCATCTAATGTCTGTATCTTTATGAATTAAACAGAATCAAATGGTGTTAGAAGTCATTCAGTACAACCTTTTATCTTTGTCAGTCAGCTACCTAGTCATTGAGGTGGGACTTGAATCCAAAACTCCTGATTCTTTACCTAGGAGTGTTTCCACTGTATCTCATTTTTCCGTTTCACACATATATTCTACTCAGTTTTTTAGCACTAAGAGTTTTTAAATTTTGGTTTCTCTAACAGTCAACAAAAGTAAAAGATTTTAATTGATACCCTTAGTCACGTCATTAGTATATTTCCTGGGGCTTCAGAATTTACTGTTGGAAATACTGGAAAAGGCAAGAAAAACAGGTAGCAAAGTTCAAACCTGTGCTAGTAGAACTTTTTTTTCTTTTTCTGAATAAATTAGTATTAAAAAGACAGGGAATACTTTTGCTTCTGCTTAGTTAACTGACTAAAATAACAGGATTTTTTTGTCACAAATACCCAGATGTGCTGAATAAATTTATCAAACTTAAAAAACCCAGAGATAAACTTGCACCTCAGGTGCTAGAAATGTGAGGATGACCTAATTCAGAGAAGATAATATCATGAACTGATCCTGTGGCCACCCTCAGTGGGACACTGTTCATTCCAATAACATACTCAGTTAGATTTCTGATTTCCAGGTGGGGACTGAAAATGAGATACTGGCCCAGCCGATGGGGATTCTGAACTGAGATCCCTGCATATGGCTGGGACCTTTACAAGTCTGCCTTCTGAGTAAAAGGACAGACCGGAAAACAAAATATGGTCCATCATCACAAAGACACAACAGAATTTCTCCTGAATAAGCCAGTCCTCTGACCTGGACATTCCATAAGTTGACAGTCGGAATTTATATGGCCCAAATTATCCAGGAACCCACAAGATTAGAGAATAAAAAAAGTTTTGCCAAGCCATTTTTATTTCTGGCAGAAGTAATTAGAAAACTATACCATTCAAATTGTTCTAAATTCCAGATCCATGAGATTCCTGCAAATAATGCCCCACTGAAGGGACCAGAAGCTGAAATTATAAAACACATAGGAAAATGCTACACAGCAGACCAGAGTCAGCAGACACAGCAAGCAGAAGGATTAGTGCTCCGAGAACTTTGGATAATGCAAAGATACCGGAAAAGCTATAAGTATATTTAAAGTAATTAAAATCCCAATGGAGGAAATCAAAACTGTAGGAAGAGAATATGAGTATGACCAAGAAGACAAAACTGTTGGAGCTACTAGAAATGAAAGATACAATAACTAAAATTTGAAAGGTGACACCTCCTTCACAAGTGATCCAGGTTAGCATTAGCAGTAGTAAGACATACTTATCATTCCGTACTCCCAGATATTGATACCAGGTGCAGGACATACCAGTCCGGAGGTATTCCTTCCCCAGATCTTTAACTTCAGTCTTTAATGAGAAAACATCAGACAAAGCCAAATTGAGGAATATGCTGTAAACTCCCTGACCACCACTCTTCTAGAGTGAGGAAAGGGATGACTGAGAAAGTGGCACAGGTTGGAGGAGATGAAGGAGACACGAAGACTAAAAACAAAATGATGTCCTGGATTGGATCCTGGAGCAGAGAAAGGATGTTAGTGCAAAAACTGGGGAAACCTGAATAAAGTTTATAGTTTATAATGTTGTACCAGTATTTAATATTTTAAAGTCTGTAGCAATGTTAATATTTTTAGTTAATTTCTTGATAATTATATCACGGTTATGTAAAATGTTAACATTGGGGGAAGCTTGTGACAGGTATGTAGGACCTCAGTATTATCTTTGCATCTCTTCTATAAGCCTAAAATTATTTCAAAAGAAAAAGAAGCTGTAGAACATCTTATTTCCAGCTTGTAAACCAAAATTACACTTGTTTAGAACATTCCAAAGTTAAAAAGGAAACAAAACTTCAGTGGATTGGTTAAATAGAACAGCCAATAAAACAAAAAAGAGATAATTGTTGACTACTAATCAAGTTACCAGGCACTTCTATAAACTGACAACATATATATCTCTCATTTACTTTTTACAGTACTTGTATGAGGAGGGTGCTGTTATTTTTCCTGTTTTACAAATGAAGAAACTGAATCAGAGTGGTTAAGTAACATTGCCCAAAGTCACACAGTTAATAAATGTTAGAGCTAGAATTCCAACCCATACAATTTGACTGTGGACTTTCTGCTCTTACTTAATCACACTATACTGAGGAAATTGCTCAGAATGAAGCACAGAAAGATTTTTTTAAAATGGAAATATAAAAAGAAAGATGAATATTTGGGGGATAGAATGAGAAGGTTCAGTGTGTGTGTGCACACATGTACATACACATATACATGTATATGTATCTGTAGACTTTAAGGAGAGATTTTAGGGAGATCAGGAGAAGCAATATTTAAAGCAATAATGGCTGAGAATTTTCTAGAATTGTTTAAATACTTATAGCCTCGGATTAAAGAACCATCCCTCCACCAATTTCAAGCAGTATTTCCCTTTTCCCATTTGTACACGAGTCTCTAAACTGCTGGATTCAAAGGCAAAAAGAATCTGTTAAATGCAAGCTAAGGGGGCAGATTACCTACTGAGGAATATAGCAACTTTCCTAATGACAGTTAAGGCCAGAATATACCGGAATAGTTCTGAGGGAAAATAACAATGCAGAATTCCCAGTCTAGCCAAACTATTATTCAAGAATAAGCATGAAATTAAGATTTTTTTCAGACAAAAATTGAGTTTCCAGTCATGTATATCACTTAAAGAACTCCTAGAAATGGTACACTAAAAAGAAGGAAATGAACTCAGAAGAAAAGGATTAATCATATAAAGCAATGTGGTGCAAACTGTTGAACATACTGAAATCTTGATTGAATGAGAAAATAGGAAGGATAATGTCTGCTTTCAGTTTGCATAGCACTTTTACATCTCTTCTCTTAAACTGTAAAGTAATCCTCTGAGGCCCTGGTTTTTAAGTGTGAGCGTACATTAGAATCACTCAGGGAGTTTTAAAAACTAATGATGTGTGGGTTTGCCCCAACAGATTCTGCTTTAATTACTATGGGCCTCAGGATTTGTTTTGAAAGTCCTAGCTTATTATATTGTACAGTAATGTTTTAGAACACTGCCTTCAGGAACTTGACCAGGTAATACAGAACCTTGGAGAAGAGATTTGCTGAGGGTTACCTGGTAGGTGTATGTTGTAATCAGGTCCAGTCTCTTAAGTGTAGTATTGTTTATTCTTTATTCTCTGTCATACTATTTACAAGTTTGTATAATTGACAATGATGATGCCTTTATTCAAGCAAAGAAAGACTGTACAGTCGAGCAAAAAACTGAGTATAGATTCAATATATATATTGAATATATACATTACTTTCAGAATCTTCAATTTTTTTTTTAAAGAAAATTGTTAGATTTATTTTTAAGAATATGTAGTTTTCTAAGTTGAAGGCATGTGTCAAGAGGCACAGGACTTGACTTGGTCCATTTCCTCTTTGTGAGGTTACATGTATTTTTATGCCTTGTTATAGTAGATACTGCCGGGGCGCCTGGGTGGCTCAGTGGGTTGAGCCGCTGCCTTCGGCTCAGGTCATGATCTCGGAGTCCTGGGATCGAGCCCGGCATCGGGCTCTCTGCTCAGCAGGGAGCCTGCTTCCTCCTCTCTCTCTGCCTGCCTCTCTACCTGCTTGTGATCTCTCTGTCAAATAAATAAATAAAATCTTTTAAAAAAAAATAAATTAAAAAAAAAAAGTAGATACTGCCCACTTTTTTTTGGGAAATGATATTCTTGGCAAAATAATAGCAAATATGTTGAAAGCCATGAAGAAGTCATGATTTCAGAAGAAACATTTCACTAATGAATTTTGCAAAGGATCTGTAATAATTATCAGATCATTTCTGTTTGAGTTTTCTTCTCTACTCCGTGTCTTGTACCGAGTTAGTTTATCCTGCTTTTTGCTTTTTAGCCCGTTAAGGAAAGTGGAGAACACTGAGATTTTATCTCGCTGCTCAAGAAATCCTTTTCTCATTTTTGAAGATGGAAACCCACAATTACACTTGAATTAACTATTAAAACGTTCTTTTCTGGTTTTAGACCAACAGCAGCAGAACTGTTAAGGCACAAATTTTTCCAAAAAGCAAAGGTAGGAAATTCTTTTGATTTTATGTGTTCATGTGATCCTCCTCATTGCCTAATTAGATTTACTGCTAAGAAGTTGCTTTTTCTTAAGGTGATGTTTGGAAAAATGATGGTAGATCAGATAATTGCTGGGGGCATTATCTGTATGACCTTTGATAATTAAGACACATGCTTTAGAATTAGTAAATGTATTTTTCGTATAAATTAATTTGAACATCAGGTTAAATTTTAACAGGAACAGTTGATACCAAATTTTGCCAGTAGTAATATAATCTATGAAAAATACTCAACTCTCATTTCAGAGTTTGCTACTGAGTTAGTTAACATCTCATTTCCCAAAGAGGAATAGATAAGTGGGATGTTACTGTAATTGAAAATGTGGGACCATGATCCTGAAGGAGATATGGTAAAGCAAACTTCTCATATATAATGGCTCTATCTGTACTAAAGCTTTGTCTCAGTCTGTGAAACTCGATTTGTGAAACTCCTTTTCTAAAGGAGCTTTAGAATTAAAGAAAAGAATGGAAACTTTCCTCAAACTTCTTTATAAAACAGTTACTATATCACATTTTTAATTGTAGTGAATATTTGTGTCAGCTTCTTTGGTTCAATAAAAACTTGTAAGAAGAAAACTTACTTTTCCTTTCCAGAATAAAGAATTTCTTCAAGAAAAAATACTGCAGAGAGCACCAACTATTTCTGAAAGAGCTAAGAAGGTAAATGGAGATTTTACTCTGGTTTCCTACAAAATTGGTTAAATTTACTTCTTTTATGTTAAAAAATGCTTTGTTATGTTATATATATGTTAAAAATGCTTTTTTTAAGTGTTACTCATTTTTTCCAGCCCTTTCGTTAGTATTCTTTGATATATTCATTCAATAAATATTAGCCTACAGTGTGTCTAGGTGTGCTGTCTACTAGAATGAAAAGGTAGTTACACAATTGATTAATTAATTCTAGACTCTGTTAAATCACTGTCTGTAGCTACCAGAGTGAGTTGTGAAGTTCAGCCCTTTCCTCACACTACGCAGTAAACAATGAAGACCCATTAGGATGACTGTAATAAAAAAAGACAGTAGCAACTGTGATAAAGATGTAAGGAAATTGGAACCTTCACATACTAATGATGAAAATGTGAAATGGTGCAACCACTTCAGAAAGTAGTCTGGCAGTTTCTAAAAACACTAAACAAAGCTGCCATATGACTCAGCAATTCCATCCTAGGCCTACTTGGAAGAATTGAGCACATGTACACACAAAGCTATGTACATGAATATTCCCAGCAGCATTATTCATAATAACTAAAAAGTGGAAATAGCCTGATTATATTAATAGATGAATGGATATATAAAATGTCATGTGTCCATAATATAGAATATTATTCAGCAATTAAAAATGAAGTACTGGGGGCACCTGGGTGGCTCAGTGGGTTAAAGCCTCTGCCTTCGGCTCAGGTCAGGATTCCAGGGTCCTGGGATCGAGCCCTGCATCTGGCTCTCTGCTCAGCAGGGAACCTGCTTCCTCCTCTCTCTCTGCCTGCCTCTCTGCCTACTTGTGATCTTTTGTCTGTCAAATAAATAAATAAAATCTTTTAAAAAAATGAAGTACTAATATATGATAGAATATTATTAAGCAATAAAAAGAAATGAAGTACTGACGCATGTCATAGCATGGATAAACCTTTAAAACATTATGCTAATCATGGGAGCTACTTACAAAAGACCACATATTATATGATTCTGTTTATGTGAAATGTCCAGAATAAGCAAATGTGTAGAGACAGAAAGTAGATTCAAGGATACCCAGGACTGGGATTATACGGAAAATGGGCAGTAACTACTAATGAGTCTGGGGTTTTGTTTTTGCCATGTGGAGGAGTGAAGAAAGTGATCCAGATTTAATTATGGAGATGGTTACACAACTTGGAATATCCTAAAAATAACTGAACCTTAAATGGGTCAATTATATGGTATATGAATTTTATCTTAACAGAGCTGGTACTTTGAAAAGGAGCATCTGGACACTGACACCACCATGAACAAAAAGCTCTTAGAAGTGGAAAACATTATAGAAGAATTGAAAATAGTTAATATGGTTGTATGGTAAAGCTAAGAAAATTTCCCAGAAAATAGAGCCCCAAACGCCAAGAGATAAATAACAGAAGAAAAAAGACAAGAGCGTTAGAGGATCATTTGAGAAGGTTCAATTTTGAGTAAATAAGTTCCAGAAAAGCAGAATGGAGGAAAATAGAAGAAAGAGAATCACTGAAAAAATAATTCAAGAGAAATTTCCAAATGGATAGTCACAAATTTCCAGATTAAAAAAGCACAAGTATGTAGCAGAATGAATGGAAATAGACCAGCTCTAAGACACATTGCTGGAATACTAGAGGCAAAAAGAGGATTCTCTAGTTTCCAGAGAAGGGGGAAAGATCATGGACGGTGTTGGATATCATAATGACGTCAGTTGCTCCCCTATAAGCCAGGTCATAGCGAAGCAGTTACATATAGCGTTATGAAAGAAAATGATTTCTACTAACCCAGACTTTTTTTTTTTTTTTTTTTTTTTAAAACCAGGTAAACTACGTTCTGGGGATGGAATCAAAGTTGAGAAATGCATGGCTTTTAATTAGTGTGCCATGCTAATAATGGAGGAAGTACTTAAACTGAGAAAGAGGAAGTCATGTGGCAGGTGATAGAGATCTGAGAAACCAGTCTAGGGTGGAGCAGATCAGGAGGCTGGGGTAACATCTTCCTCTAGAAGGTGATTCTGAGAAGTACCTAATGTATATGAATTTGGTGAGAGGAGAGTTACACAACTGGGAGACAGTTTGGGGCTAAATATGATAAGTACATGAAAATAAGCAAATATTATTAATTCCAAGGGAAATAAAAAGGTTACAGGAGAGAGAAAAGTAATTGTAATATACAATAAGGCTTAACTGTCTCATTAATGAAATCATGTGGTGGAAACACTGAATTTTGATTTAACCAAAATTTCACTGTATCTTGAGAAAAGAGTTATGGGGGTTGATAATAGGGTTAAATTCTCATCTTTCGTAGTGGGAAGTCCAGTAGGTAATTCTTAAAACCAAAGAATCAAGGGGTAATAATAACACATTACTTAGAGGAATATGAATTTAAAAAGAATATGCTAGAATGAGTTGAAAGTGTTTCCCTGTGAGTAAGAGGATAAAAGAAGATTGCTGTTTTTCTTAACAAAACTTGCACAGATAACAGTGCTCTTGGAACTGCAGCTTTAATTGTGATTTTTAAATTTAAAATTTTGAAAAAACCAGAATCTTCTCTGTCTTGGGTGTATTTATTTTGGGGGCTGAAGAAAAATTTTTCAAATCTCTCAACATGAAACCATTAATAAGATTTTGTCTGTGACTTCACATAGGAAGGATTTGGATGGTGCTTGGGCCCAAGAGTATAGATGTATAGGGAAAGTCAGTGGTTGGAGTAAAGACAGGTAGGTAGTGGAGCACAGAGAGCAAGGGAGGGGTGCAAGACACATACAGTATATATAGTAAATATCAAACACTACCATAATCCACATCTCTCTTCCTCATGTGCAGGTTCGGAGAGTACCAGGTTCCAGTGGCCGCCTTCATAAGACAGAAGATGGCGGCTGGGAGTGGAGTGATGACGAATTTGATGAAGAAAGTGAGGAAGGGAAAGCAGCAATTTCACAACTCAGGGTAAGTCTTGTTAAACTCTATGCTTAAGATAGAGCTCTATCTTTTTGTTTGAAGCCTCTGAGATATGATATTCTCTGGTTCTGTTCAGCTTAACCATCTAAAACATAGAAAATACAAGTGTTAATGACAGAATTTCTTTGAGGAAGTTATTAACCGTAGGAGCCCATTTAATCCTACATGGAAGAGTGGACTGACACATCTGTTTGAATATGATATTTACAGTATATAAAAATGGCCAAAATCTAGAGATGTAAACTGTGTCTGAGATGAGAGTACACTGGATAGGACTGATGACTGATTAAACATTGCGGAAGAAGCGATCACTGAATAGTATACCTTTCTTTCGTTGCTATATCCTGGATGGTTGTGTGTGTCTGTGTATGTGTTTGCTTGAAGCAGTGAAGACAAAGCTCTTATTTTGTTTTTTTTCCCATCACTCTTTCCTAAAGTTAATGCCTCAAGTTGATTGTTAGGACTCATTCCCAGGAATAGAAATATGTATGGGAAATATTTTTTGAGGTTTGAGGTTCATCACAGCCTTGACTGCCTAAAACCTTTCTGGGTATTAGTGGTGGTTAGATGGTATATCTCTTCCTGCCTGTAAGATCTCCTCTGCCTTAGCACTCATGACTTTGCTGATCAGCACTGAATATTTGTTGATCTTGTCAGATGAAGTCTTTTTGCAGAGCTAGAAGTAAAGCTTTACTTCGTAGAGACCTTGCCAATGAGAATTGGCAAAAATTTATTACATTCTAACCTTGGAAAGGTCTTTGTGTGTGTGTGTGTGTGTGTGTATAAACATTTGTTTATATAGATTATGAGTTTATTAAAATGTGGGACAGGTTTCTTTTCTCCTTACTTTTTATATGATTCCTCCTTAAATCAATATTGTTTTATACTGTTACATTGAAGTGATCGAAGGAAGCCAGAGGTACATGAATCTTGAAGTTTTAGCTTACTTTGAAAGAGATTTTCATAGGAATTTTTCCTCTGACCAACAGATTTTATTTGGGAAGATAAATTATAATGTCTGATTATTATCCCCTAGCCATCTGCAAGAGAAATTTATTTAAAATTTTGTAGTTTGGGGGGCGCCTAGATGGCTCAGTCCATTAAGCTTCTGCCTTCGGCTCAGGTCATAATCCCAGGGGCCTGGGATCGAGCCCTGCATTGGGCTCCCAGCTCACAGAAAGCCTGCTTCTCCCTCTCCTTCCCATTTGTGCTTTTTCTTGCTATCTCTCTGTCACTCAAATAAATAAATAATCTTTAAAAATAAACGAAAATAAAATTTTGTAGTTCTGAAATACTTATAGCAGCTTTTTAATATAACCTAATACACTGGTATGTAAATAGCTTCGAAAATTATAGAACTTGTTCTCAAAATGAGTAATTTTCTGTATTTCTCATAATCTGTAACTATTTTTGAGGACATGAATTCTTTTGTAAAAGGAAAGTCTTGTTTGAATTGAATTACATTGAAAATGCACACTATTATCAAGTGGGGTAGTCTGCAAGGATGGTTCAATATTAGGAAATCTTACCATATTAATAGGCCTAAAGATAGATGAAAAAACTTTGACAAAATCTAATAGGCCTACCGAGAAGACAAATCATACTCTTATTTTCATATGTTCTGAGAAAACTTTGACAAAATTCCGCACATGTTCATTATAGACTCTTGTGTAGATCCAAATTTCCATGTTTATATCATTTTCTTTATTCTGAAGAACTTTCCTTAACATTTTTTGTGATGTGGATCTGCTGGTGTTGATTTCTTTCAGGTTTTTGTCTGAAAATGTCTCTGTTTCACTTTTGTTTTGAAAAGATACGTTTGCTAAATATAAACTTTTAGATTGATAAGCTCTTTCTTTCAGTACTTTAAAGACGTTGTTTCACCATATTCTTGTTTATATTGTTTTTTTTGAGAAATCCGCTGGTATCCTTGCCTTGTTCTTTTATAAGTTGTATGTATCTGTACTCTGGCTGCTTTTAAGATTTTTTTCTTTTTGAATAGAGTTGAGCAGTTTGATGCCTGGTTTGGTTGTTTGGTTGGTTTATTTACATGTTTCTTGTGCTTGGAGTTTATTGAGCTTGCATCTGTGGGTTTATTGGTTTCTATAAGTTTGGAAATTTTTTAGCCATTATATTTTCAGATACTTTCTTCTGCCCTTCATGCACTTTGGAGACTCCAGTAACTTGTATATTAAGCTGCTTTAAAATTGCCAGCTCACTGATTTTCTTTTCATTTTTTAAAAATTCTCTTTTTACTCAGTCCCATTTTGCACAGTTTCTATTGCTGGCTTTCAAGTTCATTCATCTTTTCTTCTGCGGTGCCTAATGCTGCTAATCCCATTCAATCTGTTTTATATCACAGACATTAAATATTTTAAGTTTGATTTTGTGTCTGTTCATTTTTATACCTTCATGTCTTACTTTTTGAAGATAATGTGAGATATAGTAACTATAGTATAGTTAAAATAGCTATGTTAGTGTCCTTTTCTGCTCATTCTAACACTTATGTCAGTTGTGAAGCAGTTTTGTTTGATTGATTATTCCCTTCATTATAGCTTCCTCAACTCAGCTTGCTGAGTTGAGGAAATAGGCTAAGGGTCCAGGGAGACTAAGGCAGATGAAATGGATAAGGTAGAGTACCAGGGAGGAGAGAGCTATACAGAGAGAGAAGTTTAGAAATCTACAGAGCTTCCTTTTTGAGTGTACAGCAGAATACTCTTTAAGAAATACATGTGAGAAAACCACCTGAGACTGGGTGACAGTGCCCAGTGCTCACAGAGAGCCAAGAACAGTGCCTCTTCCCACCAGTCAGAGTGGAGAAGCCTGTAATTCACAAGGCATTGGGTAGAGTTCTCAGAAAGGTCGTGTCTAAGTATTGTCTAAGTATTGGGGAGCCCTATACTGAGCCCTGCTGCAGATCCAACTAACAACTCATAAAAGCAAGATCCAAAAGGCTTAAGCTATTTCCAAGTAACTTTACTGTATTTCAGAACAAAGCTTGAGAAGATTTATAGCAATACAAAATTATCAGCTTGCAACAAAGTAATATTCACAGCATCTGGCCTCTAATCAAAGATCATCAGGTACGCAGAGAGTCAGGAAAGCAGTAACAGTGAGCTCACTTTATGCCCAGATCTTGGTCTTTAATGTCATTCTCTACTAAAAAAATGAAGGCTCCTTGGAGAAATGGAAGATTCTGAGGCTTACATGGGGAAAATACAAGATGAATCTGGAATATCTTCTTTTGTGAAAAAGAAAGGTTTTTTTATTAAAAAAGAAAGTCATAATTTGATACCAGGTACACCAGGTTGAATTAGCTCCCACTTACCAAATTAGAATTTAACTATCAAAATCATTAAGTGTGGTAATAAATTAATTGTAAATCATTTTAAAAATTGGAATCCATGAGTCCATGCCAATAATGAATAGATGGATAAATAAGTGGGGGCGGGGGAGTTGCTAATTCTTCATTATAGTAAATTGCCAGTGCTGACTGGTAAATGTGGAAGAGTATTGGAGGGGAATATCATCATTTTATAGCCATGATAAAGCAGTCAATAAAGATTAGGTCAGACAAGGATCATCAGCAGTTGCTAAATATAGGGGAAATTTTTGATGAGCAGGATATTTACAGGGTCTTGAAGTGTCTCTTCAAAATTGCCATTAGTTGGAAGGGGAATATAATTACTACATACTGGAGAACTTGGAAAAGCCTTGACTAAAAGGTGATTAAAATTGATTAAAATTGACATTATTGTGAAATTTGCTGAAGTTGATAACTTTAGTAGTGTGAATTTACATAAGAGGATATCCCTGTCTTATGAAATACACAGTGACTGTTCAGTGGTAAGCAGCTAGGACATATGCAACTTACTCTCAAATGGTACAGGAACAACATGACCGGTTAAATATATATTGTATATCTATTTAAAAAGAGAGAAAGTGAACATCTTAAATAGGAAAGCAGATAAGGAAGAAAGGTTAATGGTTCTCATTCTAACAACTTTTCTGTAAGTTTGAAATTATTTCCAAATACTAAGTTTTTTTTTTAAAGGTTTGGTTTGGCCAGTATAGTTGCTGTGATATGTTAGTTATCACCTGAACCTTGATTCTCCTTAATAAAGTGGGGATGAAAATTCACAAAAACCTAAGCTGAATAATCTGACCTTTTAGGTAGTCTAAATTGATGCTTGGTAGCATTGATCATAAATTGGTATTTGTTTAGATATAGGGTAAGGGTGTTTTGTTTTGTTTTGTTTTGTTTTTGTATTCTCCAATTGCGTGTATCCAGAATCACTGATGTTATGATTTACTAAATAAATTTTAGCTTAGATGTTCATATGACAGATTACAACTGGTTTTTCAGTTTTGACTCAAGAGTTTTCTTCATTAAAGCCCATAACCTGAACTACTCTGCTTTGAAGATGTGTTGGATAATTAGCTTGAAGGCTTACATTTGGTCTGGGATATTATATATATAATATGTTCATGATAACAATGGGTGTTAAACACAACTGATGAATGATTGAACTCTGCATCTGAAAAAATTATGTATTTTTTGTTTCTAATTGAATTTAAATTTAAAAAATAGTATGTTCATGATTAGTAGAAAGAATTGTACTTTGAAGAATGTGACCTCCTATTGCCTGAGAACTCAGTCCCATTATGTTTGGTTATAAATCTCAAGTTGTGGGGCGCCTGGGTGGCTCAGTGGGTTAAGCCTCTGCCTTCAGCTCAGGTCATGTTCTGAGGGTCCTGGGATGAAGCCACGCATCGGGCTCTCTGCTCCGCAGGCAGCCTACTTCCCCCTCTTTCTCTGCCTGGCTCTCTGCCTAATTGTGATCTCTCTCTGTGTGTCAAATTTTAAAAAACAACAAAACAAAAAAACCTCAAGTTGTGAACTTTTAAAATACTATAAGACATTGATGTATTAAAGGCTACCTGGACAAAGAATACAATAGTATCATGATATTTTCTTTTTCCAGAAAACTCACTAGAGTTATGAGTGACTTAACTTATGGATCAGAATGAAATGGAGTTTATTTGCGTTTCAACATTCTGTGCAGTTTGGAACTGACTACAAGTAACCTAAGTTTTGAGTTAATAAGCCTTTTTTGTATTTCTTTTAGTCTCCCCGAGTGAAAGAACCATTATCAAATTCTGAGGTAAGTAGTTGTGGTTTTTGAATCATTAAAAAACCAGTCATTTTGTTTTGGTTTGGTTTTAATGTTAAGCACATCTTTTTATATGGGCCTAAGTGAGAATGAGAATTTATAACAATCAGATTTCACCGGAGGTATTGATTCTGAGTTTAAAAGGACTTCTCCAGTAAGTTGGTGCTGTTGCACTCATTTAAAAGTTGACCTAAAGGCTCAGAAAGTTGTTCCTTTCTTGCTTGCCTGATTTTATGAATTACTTTTCTGGCTTGGGTAGCTTGATGTGGAAAGTCGTCTTATTGCATTCATCTGTCCAGGGATTTGTCATATGCTACTTTTTCTTTTTGTCTGGTCCCCCCTCCCATTGTCTTTTGTCATGTAGATTCTGTTGTCTTTAGTTCTTGCCTTTTGGTGATAGGAATCCTACTAAAAAGAGTCCTATTAGGCTGGCCTGCCTTAGGCTCATTTCTTGAAGATAACAGTTATTTCTGGAGAGACATTCTGTGATACATTCTTCCTTCTGGCAGCCTGCATTGCAAGCTCAGTATTTGGTTTAATGATACACGTCTTGCCCCCGTAAATCAGTTTGATTTTGCCCTGTTGCTTAAAAGTACCTATTTTTCTACTTGATTTGTGTGGATGGCATACGATTTTTGCACACCGTTAAGTACAGGATTTGTGCACATAGTATTGTTTAAGACTAAAATACTGTACTGTAGCATATTTATAGGCTGGTATCTGACAACTTATAGCAGAACTGCAGTTCACTAGGATTTCTGGCTCTTCTTGCTACATGGTGGAATTGCATCTCCCTACCCCTTGAAGTTACTCATGCTCATAGCAGTGGCTTTGGGCAGGGAGATGCCAGCAGGAAGAAGAGCCCTTCTGTTGTTCCCTGGGTTCTCTGGCTCCTGCCACCACAGCCTGTATCCCCGAATGAGGATGGTACCAAATTTAGCCTCTGCTGGCCTGAGATCGAGATGAAGTGTGTGCAAGAGATAACTTTTCTTCTTGTAATCTTCTGAGAATTTAAGATTATTTTTTACTCTTACTTTATCTTGACTAATTCTTAGTTTCTCCACTGTTGATGGAGAGGGTATTTTATAGTTGATCCGGAGTTGTTCTATGATCTTATCCTTTTCCTTTGCCTCAGTAGCACCCCCACGTGCACTCTCAGGTGCTCATACTCATACTCCTGCACTCCTTATTTTGTCATTGGGTTTGAAATCCCTGGTGAAGTACACGTAACGTAAAAGTTAACATCTTCACCGTGTTTAAGGGTATATAGTTCAGTAGCGTTTAGTACATTCACACTGTTGCGCAGCTATCCACTGTCCATCTCCAGAAGAACAATCATCCCATGTTTCCTACCCCCTACCCCTGGCAGCCACCACTCTACTATGTCTGAATTCTACTGCTTTCTATATACCTCATGTAAGTGGACTCACAGAGCATTTGTCCTTTGTGACCAGCTCATCTTACCCAGCATAATGCCCTCTAGGTTCACCCATGTAATAGGTGTCAGAATTTCCTTCTTTCCTCCCTTTTTGAGGCTGAATAATATTCCATTGGATATATCTACCACATTTGTTTCTCTTTTGACTGGACGGACACTGGGTTGCTTTCACCTCTGGACTATTGTGAATAATTCCACTGTGAACATGGCTACATAATAAATATTTGTCTTAGTTCCTGCTTTCAATTCGTGGAGGTCTGTATCCAGAAGGGGATCATTCTATTTTTAATTTTTTTTGAGGAATCACCTTACCATTTTCCATAGTGGCTGCACTATTCTCCACTCCCACTGCAGTGCACAAGGTTCCAGTTTCTCCATATCAGTTCATTTCTTGATTTTGTCTAACATTTCTGTTCTTATTATAGGTAAACACATGTGTGCAATTTGAAGGCTCTTTTTGAAATAATGCTAATACTTAATGTTAACATTTTCAAAAGTAATCTTAATGTTCTGTTTTTCTGTCAAAATCCAGAACCAGAGTTACTTTTAATTTCCTCTCTATGAAGCTAAAGGATCACAAAATTATACTACTTTGTGTCTTAACTTTGCTTATATAATATCAGCTACTAGACCTATTTTGTTGCCCTTTCAGTTTTTTCTCTTTCAATTCTAAATTGCAGCCAACTTTAGTATTTTTTTCACCAACTTATAATTTTGAATAGTTTAATTTTATTTTCAACTAAACATTAGTCTTTTGTCCCCACATTACATAATTAAAATTTATAAAATATTTCAAACATGCAAAATTATATATCTATATGTATATATATAATGTCTGTGTTGGTTATAAAGCTTTATATCTGTTTTGAAAAGCATTTCAGATTCGTTAATGAATCACTGATTACTTGTCTTTCTTTTTAAGTAGTGGAAGGTTTTCAGACCTAGAAAAATGTAGCTCCTGTAGAAGATTTACTACTTAAATCTGTGTCTTAGAGGTACTATTTTATTGGGCAAAGGAAATAGAATAGATGTAGTTAAAAATAAATAGGATGCAATGAAATTTTATTCTGAAGGAATAAAAGCAAACTATGGGGTATAATATGGCTAAACCTCAGAACATTGTGCTAAGTGAAATAAGGCAGACAACAGAGTGCATGCATTTTATTTATATGAAGGATCCGGGAAAGGCAAACTGATGGGGACCAAAAGTAGGTCAGTGGTCACCTAGGGCTGGGTGTGGGAGCAGGAATTAAATGTAAATGGGCACAAGAGAACTTTCTGAGTTGATGGAAATGTTCTAAACCTAGATTGTAGTGATGTTTGCTAGAACATCATCTAGAAATCATCCAGTTGTATACTTAAAGTGGGCGAATTTAGTGGGATATGAATTACACCTCAAAAAAGTTGTTAAAAACAATAAAGCCTAGTAGAAATATTTGACTTCCATTTGAAATAGATGTATTCAAGAGAGGTAGGGACGTGGCAGTAAACTACACAAAAACTACTTTGAAAATGTCACCCTGGGAGGCTCTGCTTGCCCATCAGTAGACCTGCCTCCTTTTCCATTCAACTAAGCAGCACTGTGTGTATGTTTCTGTTACAGCTGTTTCCAACAACTGATCCCGCGGGTACTTTACTCCAAGTTCCAGAACAGATTACTGCTCATCTACCTCACCCAGCTGGGCACATGCCTGCACAACCAACTCAAGTCTCTCCCCCACCCCCGGCAGAGCCAGCAAAAACAGCTCAGGTAAAGCAGGAGTGCACTTCAGTGGCCGGTCTTCTGGGTAGAGGAAGAAAGCAGAAATTGATGTGGAGCAGCGCCTTATGTAATAAGGTTGATGTTGTGGTAGTTTTTAAAACAAGTTAGAAATTCTGTTTTCACAGTTTTCAGTGTATGCAGCTAAGAGAACTTTTCAAGGATCATACAGGCTTTTAAGCAGTGAAATAAGTTAACAATGGAAACATTCCAAATATCAGGAATTTGGGGAGTTGGTTTTATTATAGTTATGTAATATAATCTGTGAAGGCCCATCATCAGTCACGCACAGACATCATTAACTCCTCATACACTGAAAGCAGTCAAGGGAAGGAGGGCAGTGGCCTCCTTGTCTGTGAATTGCTCCTTGTCTTCCCTCAGGAAACTTCAAATACTGTGCATAACACATGATGTGAGGTTTCCAGAGTCTGTTTATTTATTAAATATTAGAACCTTCATTTTTTTTGTTCTAACATTTTAGATTGAAAAACGTAAAGATGGGGGCACCTGGGTGGCTCAGTGGGTTAAAGCCTCTGCCTTCAGCTCAGGTCATGATCCCAGGGTCCTGGGATCGAGGATCGAGCCCCGCATCGGGCTCCCTGCTCAGCGGGGAGCCTGCTTCCTCCTCTCTCTCTGCGTGCCTCTCTGCCTACTTGTGATCTCTGTCTGTCAAATAAATAAATCAATAAATCTTGGGGGGTGGGGAAGAGGAAGGAAGGAAGGAAGGAAAGTAAAGGAAGGGAAGGGAAAGGAAAGAAAGAAAGAGAAAGAAGTAAAGATGGAAGTTCTCTGAAATTTTCCATTTGCGTTGCGGTGGTGATCTGCCTTTGCAGGCCACTGCTCTGAGAGCTTCCACTTAGTCATGGTGCTGGCTTCATGTAGTCTTTTCATCAGACCCAAGCTTTCCATTTCTTTCCTTCATATCTAAAAAGATACAGTTGTCTTAGGAAAACTGATGGAAAGATTGGATTTACTTTATAAACTACTTAAATAGCACACAGGGGATAGCTTACAATGCAGAGAGGATTAATTTACCCATTAAAAGATCTAGAATCTCAGGCTGGGTGGATTCCTAAGGGGCAGATAATTTAGATCCTACCTTGTATATTGCTACATGATACACTGGCAGATTTAAAGGAAAGAACCCCAGTTTTAGTGTCTTTCACCCTTGTGGAGGGAAAGAGGGATCTGAGTAAACAAAATATAAATGTGGCTGTGTATGGAATTTCATTTGGTTTTGAGAATTCTCTTTTTAATTGTGCTTGCCTCAGGTTGACATTCAGCTCTTGTTGCTGCCTCAGAGTGCATGTCCTGCCACAGCAGGGAGTGTCCCAGCCACTGGTCTGGGTCTGGCCTCACCGAGAGTGAAGGAAATTGCTGCCATGTGGACATTTCCTCTGTTGATGACCATTAGTCACCTTCATGCTTAGTAGTCCAGACACTGACTTCATACCTTTCAATGTGTTTTAGGCTCTGCCTTCAGGAGCAGGCTCACAAGAAACCAAGATCCCAATCAGCCTAGTACTCAGATTAAGGTAAGTAAACATCTTCTGTTTGTTTTCTGCACACTCTAAATGTGCTATTTTCTCTTTGAAAGGGACTCTTTTTTTCTAATAGTCCGTGCCTGAGAGTAACTGGATAAGATTGTGTGCCCCGCAGTATCAAGTGCTGGGCATCGCAGGGGTATTGTTTCCCTCAGAACTAAGAGCTACAGGGCCCCTGGGTGGTGTAGTCAGTTGAGCGTCCGATTCTTGGTTTCGTCTCAGGGTTGTGAGGTCAAGCCCTATATCGGGCTCCACACTCACTGCCTAACATTCTCTCTTCTTCTGCTCCTCCCAAATAAATAAATAAATAAAATCTTAAAAAAAAAAAAAAAAAAGTAATAGCAACATTGTAAGGACCTGGATGTTAACACATTCTCTTAGCTGTTTTTCCACTAGTCGTTTTTTCAGTACAGCTAGTTTAGGTTCTGTAATTGAGTATGGTCTGTAACTGAGGTATTGTTTTTAGGGGAATAGCACTGGTTGGCTTATCTGAAGATTAGGCTTGTAATTTTGACCATATATCATGGACTCTGCAATCAACTGACCCAAGAGTGGAGTGCTTTCTGATTGTGATAGATCATATTAAAGCCTTGTTCTTAAAAAATGAAAGGAAAACCCTCTGAGAATATATTTGGTGTTTTTGTTTTACAGCAGGTGTTCTGAATCAGTGGTTCTTGGTGGGGCTTATAGCCAGGCTCTGACAGATTGCTCACAGAAGTGCCATAGGTGGCAGTCTGTTCATTCTGACCCTCTCCTCTTGGAGGTAGTTGGGTTAGGATTGCAGAGCTTTCTTGTTAGACTAGCAGTGGCTGTTGTATTGTTCTAACTGGGTCTCGTTCTGTTTGTGAAATTAAAAGTATCCCCTGAGACAACTCAGACCTTCGTAACTACTAACATTTTTTAAAAGGGTTTCCTTGAATTACCATGGACTCATTCCTCTTCCCACATACGAATTCCTAATCTTCTTCTCAGTATGACTGTAATCAGAGATAGAAGCAGGGAGATCTTTTTTGAGAATGTTTTGATTCTACCACCCGGAGCAATGAAACTGTGCCATCAGTGTGAAGAAAGCAGATTGGGTTACCTTTCCTTTACAAAAGCCTAGTCAATATACATAGTCTCATCACAGATAGTTTTGGACTCATTAAAGTGTCTTGATAATCTTGTCCAATTCTGATTGTGCAAAAAGAATACCACTTGTCTCTTTTAAAAACTTTTTTTTTTAAATCCTGTAGCAGCTACTAGTATAAAAATTATATTTGCCCTGTGCTTCAGGAAGTTAGAGAAGATACTTACTTTTAAGTGATACAACTAGCTTTTTGAAAGAGTGGTTTTTTAGAGGGCTGTGTTCCAGACTTGTTTATGGAAGAAGAAACTATGTTCTCTCTCTCACTGATGAAGACTCTGAGGTGAAACCACTAGAAGAGATGGTATACATATTTAGTCCGGTTTAGTATCTTGCTGTCTCTGAAGGATTTGTGCTTAGCATGCCAGCTAAATCATTAAAATGATGCTGAATGTTCAATCTTTTTATTCAGCTTTCAGAAAGAATGGATTGACCAATTATGTATCAAGAAGACTGTATATCACACTGTTGGTTATTGTGGCAGGATACCAAGTAAAGAGTGAATAAAATGCCTCACTTGTTAGTCAGATCTAGGTTGGAAGCTGATTTGTATTATGTACTTAGCACAGGTTAAAGACACTTCGGGTAGTATACATGCAGAAGTATAAATCTGTATACAGGTACAAAGAGAAGGCAGTATGAAGGGGAAAATCATTTGGGGATAGATTGTGTTAGAGATGGGTAACTACATTCTAAACACAACTTCAGGAATATTTTCAAGTATCCATCAGGTAGACCTAGCCCTCTGCATTGTTTAGATAAAGTGGATTTGGGTCCTTAGTGATCAAGCATGTCTGCCTTTCCGTATAGTATTCTAAATGCCCACCTTTAACCAGAACCTCCAGGGAGCCTGGTTAATCTCAGTATATGGTTTGCTGAGTGATTACAGTAACTGTCCCTCATCAGGCACACATTTAAACCTCTGGAGCCATGTATTAACTCTGCTGCCAGTATGGGCCCAACTCCTTTCCTCATCTTTTCCTTCCCCCTCATTGTCCGAACTCCTGTGGAATTTGGGGGAGCATCATGTATTTCATTTTGTGAGGCTGCCAAGACTGAGCACCTGTAGTGGGCAAGGCACTCTTCTAGGGGAGCCTGGGGTGGGAGTGAGGAGGAAAAGGGTATCCTCTATTTTTTTTTTAACGCTGCCACATATTTAAAAACATTTTTTTTAATTCCAGTATTAAAATAATTTAATTCCGGTAACATTTGGTGTTAGTTTCAGGTATATAATATAGTGATTCAATAATTCTGTATATAGTACTCAGTGCTCTTCAAGATAAGTGTACTCTAATCACCATCTCCTATTTCTCTGTCCACCTTCCCACCTCCCCTCAGGGAACCATCAGTTTGTATAGTTAAGAGTCTGTTTTTTGGTTTGTCTCTTTTTTCCTTTGTTCATTTGTTTTGTTTCTTAAATTCCACATAGGAGTGAAATCATACGGTTTTTGTCCATCTCTGACTAGCTGAGTTTGCTTAACATTATACTCTGTAGCTCTATTCATGTTGTTGCAGATGGCAAGAGTTCATTCTTTTTTTATGGCTGAGTAATATTCCATTGTATATACACATATCTTATCCATTCATCAATCGATGGACACTTGGGTTGCTTCCGTATCTTGGCTATTGTAAATAGTGCAACAGTAAACATCGGGGTGCATGTATTCCTTTCAATCAGTGTGTTTCTGTTCCGTGGGTAAATACCAGTAGTGTAATTATTGGATCATGTGGTTAATCTATTTTTAACTTTTTGAGGAATTTCCACGCTGTTTTCCATGGAGGCTACACCAGTTTTCATTCCCACCAACAGTGCACAAGAGTTCTATTTCTCCACATCCTTACCCAACACATGTTGTTTCTTGTGTTGTTGATTCTAACCATTCTGACAAGAGGAAGGTGATATCTCATTGTGATTTTGACTTACATTTCCCTGATGATTAGTGATATTTAGCATTTTTTCATGTGTCTGTTGGCCATCTGGATGTCTTCTTTGGAATAATGTCTGTTTATGTCTTCTGCCCATTTTTAAATTTGATTCTTTGGGGTTTTTTGGTGTTGAGTTGTGTAAGTCCTTTGTATTATTTTGGATACTAATCTTTTCATCCTGTATCATTTTAATTATACTTTCCTGTGCACATACATTTTCCTCTTAGTTTATACGATATCTCAGTGGGACTAAGGATGGAAGTAGGCATCTAAGAATCTCCTCAAGGGGTGCCTGGGTGGCTCAGTGCCTTTGGCTCAGGTCATGATCTCAGGGTCCTGGGATCAAGCCCCGCATCGGCTCTCTGCTCAGCGGGGAGCCTGCTTCCCCCTCTCTCTCTCTCCCTGCCTCTCTGCCTACTTGTAATCTCTGTCTGTCAAATAAATAAATAAAATCTTTAAGAAAAAAATAAAAAGAATCTCCTCAAAAGCCTCAGGGCTTTTTGTTTTTGTTTTTTTCTTACTTTGTGCTTAGGTAGTTTTTTTTCCCCATTTAAAGTATAGTGCTATATTAGTTCGGGTGTATAATATAATGATTCAGCAGTTCTGTGCATTACTCAGTGTTCCTCACAATAAGTGTAGTGTTAGCATGAGGTTTTCATATTGACTACTGGAGGACATAAATTAAAAGGATTGTAGGACAGTTAGATGGTCACTCTGAGTAGTTTGCTCTGAGCCCTGCAGTGTGAGCTCATTAGGATAGGTCGTAGGATCAGTGGAAATAGAATGATTTTTCTTGAGGCACAGCTTTCCTGTTATATGTTGGCAGAGTCAGTATGCATAAATCCAGAAATTTATTTTACGCATTCCCTTTTCTTTTGTAGGAATTCAAAAAAAGAACTAAATGATATTCGATTCGAGTTTACTCCTGGGAGAGGTAAGCCATCAAAAACATTGAAAACAAAATAAAATCTAATTTATTTAATGAAATGTGTTGTGATGTTTTTGTCCTTTAGATATATTTTACTTTTAAAAGATGATGAAAATGTTCCTGGTTTAAAGGGTTTGGGTGGCATTTGAATAAAATAAAAACTCTATTTACTACTAACCTCACTTGTAAAACCTAGTATGATACAAACAGTAATGAGTGTAGCTCTAATTCACGGCCTACCATAGTAGGCCAGGCATTGTGCTAAGCTTTCTACCGTTAAATTCTCAGAATTCCCCTAAGGAAGATTATTGTCCCCCTTGCGTAGATGATGAAACAAGGCTTAGAGTGAGGGGAGGTAACTTGTCCTTCACACAGCCGGAAGAGGTGCCTCTGGAATTCATATCCACACTTGTCAGGGTGCCGAGTTCTCGCTCTCAGTATTGAACATGATTGTACTTCTCCATGACAGTAAAGAAGAAACAAGGCTTCTAGCCTCCTCTCTTCCCAGGCTGAAGTGGAGTCCTGTCAGGCATAGTTTCTGGCCATGAACTTCTTCCTGGGATGAGACTTGTTTCTTTCTTGCCTTTGTTACTCAAGCGGTCAGACTGGGGAGGTGGCCAGCAGCCAGCACATTCATCCTGTGTGCAGTGCTCATTCTTCATGCTGTCTCAGTATCATCAGCAATTAAGTATGAAGGAGGATGGAAGCCAGGTTGCAGAGGTGTATCCATTTCACTGTTTAAAACCAGGAAGAGTCCCATTTCAAGGAACTAATTCAAGTCGCTGGTCATCAGCACAAATATGTGCCCACCCACTCCCCAGAGGTCCTCCTGTTCTTTCGGGCTCAGTGTTCAGCCCTCAGGAAGCAGCAGCACTAACTCAGTTGGAGAGGAGATCAGTTAGGGTTGCTGAGTCCCTGTCTTTTCGTTTCTTTTACAACCATTGATCAGATTATATGATGTAAAATCACTAGATATGAAGAAAAGCCCACCAGAATAAAAAAGAAAATGATGCTAACAAAAAACTTGGGATGTGATCTCTGAAGAGAAGAGATTACAATTTGTTCTTTCAAGATGTGCTTGAAAAGAAATCATTCCATTATACTAGCCCTGAAGATGTTGCACACACATCATCACATCTCAGAGCTGGTGGGGCTTGGGACCAGGGCTGCCCTCAGAATGGGACTTTTCCTTTGTAGCATCACTGTCAGTTGCAAGTTATCTTTACAGTGAGTTGATACTGGCCATCTGGTTGTTAGAGATTCTGTGCTCTAGCTAGACCTAAGAGAATCTCCCACTTGAGGTCATTCCAGGGGTAGGAGAAACCTTTGTGTGGAAGACACCCCCCCCACCCCGCCTCTTTGGTTCTGTGAATTTAGCAGCTAGCTTGGGCCTGCCAATGCCAACATCTGCTCTAGGAGTTCGCAGTAACGTGCATGCACAAGAAATGGAGCACCTTCTTTTTTTTCCTTGCAGATACAGCGGAGGGTGTATCTCAGGAACTCATTTCTGCTGGCCTTGTCGATGGAAGGGATTTAGTAATAGGTAACTACTTTGTGCTCTGCCCTGCGCCCTGGTGTCTCTGTCTTTGTATTTAGGACCTAGAAAACAGGCTTTGATTCCATTGAGCGGATCTCACGGGTCTTGGAATGGTCTTGGCATTGCTGAAATACAGGTATTGGTAATAGTTCCTCACAAAAAAGAAAATCTCATTTCAGAGTTCACTTTCTGACTTCCAGTGACAGTAGGTGAAAGCTGGGAGACTCTAGTACAATTGATGATGTAATCACAAGTTAAAGTATACTTAACCATATTGAGTTCATTTTGGAGGGTGAAACTCTGCCCTTAACAGAGCAGGAAAGAAGTAAGCAAAACTCATTAGAGGCTTATTTCTAGAATAAGCAGAAAGTAAGAAAAGGTACAATCGGCCCATGTGTATATGTTACTGAAGGAAAAGACCATTGTCTAAGGGCCAGTTAGCAAAGTTTTTCTGTAAAGGACCAGTTAGTAAATAGTTTAGGCTTGTGGGCCATTCACTGTCTTTAAACCATTCTTATCCCACAGCCAGACTAGAAATAGGCTGCAGGCCAGAGTTCAACAGCTCCCAGAGTAGAGCTTTCTGGCCTGTGAGTAGGCAAATCCTTCCTCTTTGACCTGTGTGTCTTGCCCCAGTTAACACAGCATCTTAAAGAAAGTTACTTTGATCATGATTCGAGATTTATTTGTGCTGCTTAGAGTTGAGTTTAAAAGATAATTTTTGTTTGGGGAGTGAGTTATCGTTCCACTTCCATTTTGGTTGAACATAGAAGATTCTGAGCTATCGTTTAAGTTTTTAAAATATGGTAGGAAATGGATTTACTTAGCTTCTTATTACTTTCTGTTTGTATGATTACAGTGGCAGCGAATTTGCAGAAAATTGTGGAAGAACCTCAGTCAAATCGATCTGTCACTTTCAAACTGGTACTCATTTCTTCCTCTTTATTAAACTGTCCTTACATAGCAGCAGCTTCTGTAGACCAGCTTCTATATTCCCTGAGCTCTGAGAATATTAAAATATGGTGGATTGTGTTCATTTAGCCTCCCTAAGGCCTTAGGCCAGTGTCTCCTTTTGAGTGGCCTCCCTCTGTTCTCCCTCCAGGAAACCTCCTACCCCAGGCCCTTGACTCTTAAGAGAGAGTGTTTCCAATCTGACTCCAGCTTTGTACCCAGACCCCACCTTTTCTGGAAGAGACACCTTCATCTTCATCCTCGTATCCCAGGGACCTGTACCCTGCTGTCTTCCTCCCCACAGTCCTTATATCAGTTTTAATTGCTACGTGCAATTTTGTTTACAAATAACCACAGCTTCTCATTTTGTTTGGTTCTTAGGCATCTGGTGTCGAAGGCTCGGATATTCCTGATGATGGTAAACTAATAGGATTTGCCCAGCTCAGCATCAGCTAAACCACAGCCCTGAAAGAGGCGGCCTAAGGAGATTCCACACATGCGTATCTCTGTTGCTTCTGTTGGCCTAAACCCACTACTGCCAAAGAACCCAGCAACAAACCTCCCGGCTAGGAGCTTTAGAGGTCTTTCTTTATGTTCTTCCTGCCATCATTCCCCCCTTTTCCCACAGGGAAAGAAAAGTTGGATCACCAGTGGCCAGCATCCCTTTAAAGAGTTCCGTTAGTAAACTTACTGCGCATGTCCCCTGTCTTTCTCCAGCTGAGAAGGGGACTGTGCCTCAAGGCTCAGGAGGGAGATCTGGCAGCTCATCTTGCCTTACTCCAATGATGGCGCTGGGTGGAAAGTAGCAGCTATATTGGGCTTCCTCATCCTGCCTGTTCTCCCACACCTGACAGGATGTGGGCAACTTGGGATATATCTTCACCACTGAAGTAGCAATTAAAAGTTGATTGTTTATCTGGAGCCCAGAGAATTTAATTTAGTAATTTTTTTTTTTAATCTGATGTGAATTCTAGCAACCTTTGTTAGGAAAAAGCACAGCCTCAGAAAGAGGCAGCCTAAACTGTGTTATTGTTTTGTTCATGTTTCTAAGCGTTTTGCTGAAGCTGCTCTCAGGCACCCCTCTTCATCACTCCCTCCAGAAAGGGTTGCTAGCCTTAACTTCAGCTGGTGCAAAACATCTGACTGTAGTCGAACTTCAGCCATCAGATCCTAAAAAGTGGAACTTTGGACTGTTTTAGCGAAAACATCAAGTAATGGCTTGTAAAAGTGAATTTCCCCAGCAGTGGTTTTGAACAGGAAGAATCATAACTCATATCATTGTGGAAGTATTTATTTTCAAATCTTAAAAAGTTCAGTTGAAGAAAAACTGCTCCTCAATCCTCCCATGAAAATTTGCCTGGCCTCCACGTCATAAGGAAATGCAAGGCTGAGCTTTCTACAGCAATAAAGGAGACTCACCAGGCCAGTGAGGCCTGCCTTCCGGCCCTCTCCTGCACTGACCCTTTGGAGGGGCTCCACACTTCTGTGCGCTGAACCTGACCCAGGATGGAAAGTGAAACCACATGTGCCGAGACTTTTAGGATTTATGAGTAGACAGTGTTCATTTGATTTTCTATAGAAATAATATAAATTATTCTTTAGGTTTAAAAACGAGCACTCATAATGCAATATGTGAGTAATCGGTAGGGCCGATTTTCTTTCCTACTGTTTTACAGTCAACCTCTGTCTAACTGCAAGAGCCCTAACAGTTTTTGTCTAAGAAAGGGACACTCAATCTGGCCTTAAAACGACACATGAAGATGGGCTTTGGCACCATGGAAAGGGGAGAGCTGCCTCTTACAGAATCATGCAAGCCCTTTCCAGTACCGTTGGTCTGTGAATAACAAGATTGCTTCACCTAGTTGTCTCTTGGAATATCTCTGGAAGCTTTCCCCACAACTGAGTTGTTGCAGCTCTTGTTTGGTTCTGAGCTTGTTGTTTTAGTTATGGGCTTCCTTTCCCTGCCCTGGGTGCAGAGGCATACTGGGGAAGGAGTAGATGTTGGGGAGAAGGATGGGATGGGTTTGGAGTGGCCGTTGGGAGGAAAGTAGATGAGAGGATCGGACACCAAAGTCCAGGGTCCCAGCAGGATCGGTAAAAAGTGGGAGGCCTGCCAAGCCTAGAGAGGGAAAAGATTGATCAGTTTGCTGGAAAAATACTTAGCTTTTCTTTTTCTTTTCTTTTTTTTTTCTTTTTTTTTTTTTTTTTAGAGGGATGGGAATAACATATGAAAAGGAGATAGTGTCCCTTTGGCACAAGGCTAGTGGCTTACCTTTGAGTCTGTATTTTTGTCTCAATCAAGCCATCATCATCTACTTAATGATAAATCCAGAGGGTGGTGGCCTCACTCTGTTCTAGCATTCTGTTTGGAAGTAGTCTGGAGCCCAGGCAGGAGGTAAGCAGCAGCCCATTGCTGTGTTCAGTTTCCCCAGCCAGCTATGACTTTTAAACTGCAGTGGGACAAGCATGCCAATAGAAGTGGGCTAGGGCTTTCTCTTTCTTTTCAGTTCATTTTTTGCCCTGCTGGGAATTAGGAGCCAGACACCAAGACCCAGGACAGTGTTATTTCTTCTGCATGATATATGGTGGAGTCCCTTTGCTGACTTTCACAGCGATGCTGAGAGAATACATGAAAAGAAACTTCCCAGGTTGCACGACACGCGACCTAGTGAGTGACCTTGCACCTTTCAAGGAGCAGTGGTCCAGGGTACACCTCTGTCTCTAGGTCTCTAGGATCCCTTGGTCCCTGGGGGTAGGGACTAATTTAGCACAAGGTAACATGTGCCAATGCTGTTTGTGAAATGTATGGTCTTATTCGAAATGACTAATGGATTTGTTTGGGTTTTTTGCTTAAGTTTTGAACCAAATCCTAGAGCCAGCTGATACTATTTAATAATCTGAGGATAGAATAATGGTGTATCAATAAATGGAGGTTCCTCCTTATGACGTATGCTAGATTATGGAAGATGTAAAATATTTGACCTTCCCTTCTCCCTTTTTTTGACTTTGTATTTTGCTGCATGTTTCCTTCATTTTTAATCAATAAAGAGTAAATTGTCTGTGGCGGTGTAAGGATTCTTTACTTCAGTGCTTGCTGGTGGGGAGCGTGAGGAGTGGGTCAGGGAGTCACTACTAACTTAATTTTTCACACAAATGGAGGAAAAAGTGCACATAAGCTAAAAAAATGTGTGTATTGACCTACAAATGATCTAGGACAGCTGAAAATCATTGTACAAATGGGGAAACTGAAATCTCAAAAGGGAGAGAGAAGATATGGCCAGGGAAATTTCATAGCATGGGGCACAAAACTCCTTGTACTGTTGTTTCTGTTTGATTCTGCTTATGCAGTTGGATAGGGGAAAGAGGCCACATTCAAGGCTTTGTGAGTCCATTTTGGAAAATTGAGAGCAGGGCTGAGCTTGTCGCTATTTGACTTTGCTATTGAAATGGTGGGATTACATGTGAGAGTCTAGGCTCCTCTGTATTCTTCCACCTCCCATGTAAGTAATCTTGATCATAATACTTTCTCCACAGAAGGGTCCTTCTGGGACAGGACTGCTTGTGGATTCTTGTAATTCAGAGCTCAGGCACTGACAGGATTGTATCTGAGTGATTTTGCTCTCAAGATAATCAGGTTGTAAAAGTGGACTCTGAGGCACCTGGATGGCTAATGATCTCGTTCACCTTAATTAAGTGAGTTTAAATTATGACTCACTTTTTCTTCTCAGAGCAGATTGTAAATAATAGCACAGAATTTCAGTTGGCTTAGATAAAATTGATTAATTAAAAGTTTGATGTTCCTTTTGTGTGAAATATACTTAGCAGTTCAAAGTGAAAAAAAAAAAATCTAATCCTGGAAAGGATTGTCATCATAGAACTTGAAAGAAATATTGACTTGGGGGGCCTGGGTAGCTCAGTGGATTAAGCTCAGGTCATGGTCTCAGGGTCCTGAGATCGAGCCCCACATTGGGCTCTCTGCTCAGCAGGGAGTGTGCTTCCCCTTCTCTCTCTCTGCTTGCCTCTCTGCCCACTTGTATCTCTGCCTGTCAAATAAAAAAATAAAATCTTTTAAAAAAAAAAGGAATATTGACTTGGTAGTTTCCTAGTTTATGCTCAATACGAAATTCCATTTCATTTGGTTTCTCAGGAATGTCATCTATCCTTTAAATATGAAAGATGATTATGCAAGAAGGAAGTTGTCTTACGACCAGAAACCTAGAACTTGAACATATTCTCTAATTTCCCAGATGATAAGGGCCACTCACAGTTTACTGAGCTCCATATTGTACAGATTACAGGCTTTTTGTCCCTTAATTGAAAGACTAAAATTAAAAAAAAAAACAACAACAAAAAACAGATTGTGAAAGTGAACTCTGAACTGCCTGGATGGCTCAGTTGCTTAAGTGTCCTGCTCTTGATTCTGGCTCAGTTCATGATCTCTGGGTTGTGAGATGGAGCCCCCTTGTTGAGCCCCGTCAGGTTCCATCCTCAGGGAAGGGTCTGCTAGAGATTCTCTCCCTCTTGGCGCCACCCTCCCCCCCCACTCACTCTCCCTCACTCTAAAATAAATAAAATCTTCTTTAAAAAGTGGACTCTGACTATTGTTGGGACAGAGAAGGTGCTAGTTAGTCGAAAGTGACTGTGGTGCATATGGGGAGAGGTGGCAGGGCAAGAATAAATGGAGCCTTTCTGTTGGCCGTTCTCGAACAAGTTCAGGCATTCTCAAGAGGCCTGCTTCCTTGGCTCTACCTCCTCATAGTAGCAATTCTCAGTGCAACAGTTTATGCATTTCTCCTTCAGATCAGTTCATCTACACCACACTTTCTGCCCTTTAAAAAAAAAATAGGCTTCATCTTTTAGAGTAGTTTAGTTTCTTAGTGAAATTGAACAGAAAGTACAGAGTTCCCATACCTAGTCACATATCTTGACCCCATCTAGTCACAGCTTGCCCCACTGTCAACAACCTGTGCCAGAGTGGTACACTTGTTACAACTGATGAACACACATTGACGTCATTATCACCCAAAGACGATAGTTGACATTCATGTACACTCTTGGCTGTTGTATATACTATAGATCTAGACAACTGTATAGTGACACATAGCCATCATTGTATAAAATAGATTCACTACCCTAAAATTCTTTGTATTGCACCTATCCATCTCTCCCTTCCCTCTAGTCCCTGGCAACCACTCATCTTTTTAGTGTCTCCATAGTTTTTCGCCTTTTCCGCAATATCATGTATTTAGAATCCTACAGTATGTAGCCTTTTCAGAATGGCCTCTTCTGCTTAGTAATATGCACTTACAGGTCTCCATTTTGTGTGTGTTGGGGGGAGGTTAATAGCTCCTTTTTAGTGCTGAATAATATTCTATGCCTGGATGTACCACAGTTGCTTCCAAGCCTTGACAAATTATGAACAAAGCTGCTGTAAACATCTGTATGGAGGTTATGTGTGGATATGAATTTTTTAACTCCTTTTGGTGATTACCCAGGAGCTCAATTGTGGATTGTATGGTAAAGGAATAGTTTCATAAGAAACCGTCAGTTGTCTTTCACAATGGCTGTATACTATTTTGCATTCCCACCAATGAATGAGAGAGCTTCTGTTGCTCTACATCCTTGCCACCATTTGATGGTGTCAATGTTAAAGACTGGCACTTCTGATAGGCCTGTAGTGATATCTTGTTTTAATTTGCAATTCTTTAGTGAGGTGATGTGGAACATCTTTTCATATGTTTATTTACTTTCTGTATTCTTAAGTGAGGTGCCCATTAAAGTCTTTTGCTCATTTTTAATAAGATTGTTTTCTTATTGTTGAGTTTTAAGAATTCTTTGTATATTTTGTATAAAAGTCCTTAATCAGATGCAAGCATACCTCATTTTACTGCATTTTGCTTTATTGTACTCTGCAGATAACTACATTTTTTAGAAGTTGAAGGTGTGTGGCAACCCTGCATTGGGCATGTCTCCCGGTGACATTTTTCCAACAGCATTTGCTCACTTTGTATCTCTTTGTCAATAAAGTTTTTTTTCAATTAAGGCATGTATATTGTTATTTTAGACATTATGCTATCACACACTTACTATACTACCACATAGTGTAAACATAATTCTTATATGCAGTAGGAAACCAGGAAAGTCATGTGACTGCCTTTATTGCAATGTTGGCTTTACTGCAGTGACCTTGAATCCAACCCTCATTATCTCCAAGGTCTGTCTTTTTATATCTGCAAATATTTTCTCCAGTCTGTGTCTTGTCTTTTTTTTTTTTTTTTTTTTGGCAGAGCAGGAGGTTTTAATCCTAATCAAGTCCAGCTTATCTGTCATTTCTTAAATGGATCATATTTTTGGCTCTATAGCTTAAAAAATCATTACCATACACAAGGTCATCTAGATACTTGCTTGTGTTGTCTTCTAAGAGTTGTACGGTTTTGAATTTTCTTAGAGATCTATGATCCACTTTGAATTAATTTTCTTGAAGAGTATAAAATCTGTATCTAGAGTTATTTTTTGGCCTATGGGTGTTCAGTTGCCTACGGGTGTCCACCACCATTTGTTGAAAAGACTGTTTTTCCTCCATTGTATTGCCTTTGCTCTTTGGTCAAGATCAGTTGAATCTATGATTTGTCTCTGTTTTCTGTGCCATTGATATGTTTATTCTTTTGCCAATACTATACTCATTTGATTATGATAACTTTATATAAATCTTGAAGTCAAGTATTGTCCTTTGACTTTGTTCTCCATCAGTATTGTGTTGGCTCTTGTCTTTTGCTTCTCCATATAAGCTCTAGAATCAGTTTCTCAATTTTCACAAAAACTTAGTGGAATTTTGATTGGAATTGTTTTAGTCAACAGATCAAGTTGGGAAAAACTGACATAACTCTCCATACACATTGAAATCTCTACGTTTTCAATTCATGGATTTTCTTTATCAGAATTTTCTAGTTTTCCTCATGTAGATCTTTTACATATTTGTTAGAGTCTATTTCATTTTGGGGGTGCTAATCTAAATGGTATATTTTTTATTTCAAATTCCACTTGTCTGTTGTTGGTATATAGGAAGTGATTAGCTTTTGTATCTTAACCTTATATCCTGCAAACTTACTATAAACACTTAGTTCCAGGAGTATTTTTGTCAATTCTTTCAGGTTTTCTAATAGATACTAGTATTTGGTGGATTATTATGTCATCTGTAAACAAAGACCATTTTCATTCTTCCAAATCTATCTATACATTCATTTCCTTTTGTTGTTGTTGTTGTTAAGATTTATTTATTCATTAGAGCATGCATGTGCAAGTGGGGTGAGGGGAAGAGTGTGAGGATCTCAAGCATAGAGCCCAATGGAAGGCTCAATCTCAAGACCCTGAGATCATGACCTAAGCAAAATCAAGAGTTAGAGTCAACCCACTGAACCACCCGGGTGCCCCTCATTTTCTTTTCCTGTATTGTATTAGCTAGGATATATAATAGGATGTTAAAAAGCAGTGATAAGAGAGGATATTCTTTTCTTGGTCATGATTTTAGTGGAAAAGCTGTTTTCTCATTAAGTACGATGTTAGCTATAGGATTTTTGTAGATTTTTTTATAACTTTTTTTAAAAGATTTTATTTATATATTTGACAGAGATCACAAGTAGGCAGAGAGGCAGGCAGAGAGAGAGGAAGGAAAGCAGGCTCCCTGCTGAGCAGAGAGCCTGATGCGGTGCTCGATCCCAGGACCCTGGAATCATGACCTGAGCCAAAAGCAGAGGCATTAACCCACTGAGCCACCCAGGCGCCCCTTATATAACATTTTTAAAATTTGAATTCAGTTAATTAACATAATGTATTATTTGGTTCAGGGGTATGGCTCTGTGATTCATCAGTCTTATATAATAAATACCCCTTGCTCATTACAACACATACCCTCCCCAATGTCCATCACCCAGTTACCCCATCCCACCACCCCTTTCACCTCCAGCAACCCTCAGTTTGTTTCTTGTGATTAAGAGTCACTCATGGTTTATCTCCCTCTCTGGTTTCATCTTGTTTTATTTTTTTCCTCTCTTACCCTATG